CAATAAATCCGACATCAAAGTTAAACAGAATTCCACAAAAATGCAAAGCTACAAAACACAACGGATCAAATATAAACAGCTTGGAGCACCAGCACAACTAGACTTCAATAATGTCAGAAAAATGAACTGAACAGAAATCAGAAACAACCTGACACAATTCATGAAACTAGGGAAAGTAACAAAACCAAAGCAAAAGACTCAAACACCCAACTCAGAAGCTGGTGCTGAAAAATCACCTGGTTTCATTTGAATCACTGAATTTGCACATTTGATTCTTGCACACTGGTTCATAAAGTTTAAACCAAATGTTCCCTTTCTCACACCTCTGTTCTAGAACACCCACCACACACACACACACACACACATGCAAACATCTAAATGGTAAAGTCATCCAGAGGCCACCCTCATTACTCAATGCACAGGTGGCGAGGGTCTTTTCTGGATGGACAAGGACCAGACCGGTTTTATATGTGAGCATATGCAAACCCACACACACACACACACACACACACACTTTTGTCTGCACACCTCAGAGCCATTGGGGCTGAACTCTGTGGTTAATGACTTTCCCACCCACTACACAGCATGCACATGTTGAAGCCGTTAACGATAAGTGGCTTTTCGAACTTGGTAACGTCCTAATGTCCCTGTTAATCTCACATTCCTCACTACAAAGGCCCCAGTACACAGCACAGCAATCCCTGCAAGACGAGCCATTTTGTGAACTATTAAAAACCAATAACCAAAGTTTTTTTCGGCCTACCTTCGCCCCACTAGAGTATCGACACGGGCCGACTTCAATCTGAGCAACGTCAACATCATTCAGTCAGAACTTCCTGATGGAAACCACGTGGAGAACAACAGTTCAAGTGTAGATCACAAGGTTGTTGTTGTTGTTGCTTAATAGTGCAGCACTCAGCTGCTTTACTCTGCACTGCACCTTTCTCTTTTGGCCTAGCTTATCCAAAAATCATTGAAACAACACAGCACTGAGGGGAGAAGACAGGAGGGCAACATTTATTAACAACTTGTAAACTGCACGTTTGAAATGGCTGCATAGTGTATTTTCTACAGCAACACAGTCAAATATCACGATCTGTCCTAACTGACACACTGAGTGGAATTAGTACTTGTGGCTAAGACTACATCTGGAAATCACCTGCAATAATCATTATGTCCATGTTATAATTTTACATTTTTAGTTCACACCTTCTTCTTTTATGCAGAATTAACAAATGCACGGACGCCCTGGTTCAATGTGTTCCAATGAAAAATGTTTAGACTGAGCTTATGTGAATATATAAAGTGACATATTTGACAAAATAATAAAACTGTGTTATTGTAAAGTGACCACAAACAAAACCTCGATATTGATTAATACTGGCAGCGCTGCGGTGGACCCCCCCACCCCACCCCCCAAAAAACCAAAAAAACAAGCAGTAATTGTAAACATTCAACATAGCACATATATCATTTTACTTTTGTACCGGACCGACCGGATTAAATGTTTCTCGCGCGTTTTGTAGGCGATGACACCGGTGCTCGTGCGGAAGGTGACCCTCAGGTGAAAAACACACTAAAACAAAGGATTTGGGGCAAAATGCTTGTCCGTACCTGGAGGTGTCTGAAAGCAGCGGTTAGCTGGGTCATGTGCAGAGTGAGGCACCTGGATGTGCATCTGGCGCTGTTGGTTTTCTCCTGAACATCCTCCTGCTCCGGCGAACTCCTGCGAGCACAAGTCACCGCCAACATCGCGCAAAGCAGCACCAAACCGGCCCGACGGACTGACATTACACCGGAAGCTAATACAAACACGTACACAACAACAACAAAAAGATTTTTTTTTTCTCTCGTTCCCTCTTGTTTCGAAGGCGTCCTCCTCTCTCTGACTTATAAATTCAGAATGAAAACATCCGAGCGCCGCTCGTGCCTGCGCGCGAGTAGGGAGTGGAGCGCCTCCGCGGACACTCCCACCACCGGTACAAGTGCGGCCACGTGGAGTTATAACGTTCTTCATCCTCATTATCCTAAATACCGTCATCATCCTCGGCAACGTCGAGCATAAGCGGCAATAATTACTACTGTGTGTGCTGCTTCCACTGGCGTGCGCGCTTCTTCACTTTCATTACGATTTTTTAAATTTAATTTTACAGTTTTTGCATCATTTGTTTTCATAAAATTGACCAGCAACCATCAGCGTCATCACACGCACCAGCTATTAGTGCTATAGGCGTCAGTGGTCAGGTTTACTTCAGCACTGTGGAGAGACCGGAGCAGGGTCTTTTTAACGTGTTTCTCCTGGAAAGTTAAAATCATGACAAGAAGAAGAAAGTGTTTGATTCCACTTGGTATTCAGCTTGATATTGTGTATCACTGTCATCACACTGAAACACGTTAATTCTAATCCAAGCAAGCATCCAATCAGTTTAGTTACATTTTTATTATCATTGAAACGTTTATTGCTTTAAAACATTAGATATGCACATAAGCATATTTATCCCTTTTTAATATTCTTGCACGTGTTTTGTAGGTTCAGGTGCGGAGTTATCGTTATTATTGTTGTTGCCTCACTCATGGTTGTGCTGAATTTTATCAGCTTCACTTCCAACATAATGATCTTTATTTTCATCATCACCATCATCATCATCACCACTGTTGTTAGAGTCTTTTTGACGACCACTTTTATTCTGCTGTGAAACAAAAACAAGAACACCGAGATAATCGTGCTGTTGTCATCAGTGCTCTGATAGTACTGCCTTGTTATGAAGGCAGAAACATAATAAACAGGCCAAAGTTTACTTTAATGTTCTGTTACATGGTTACAAATACCAGGCATGCAGACAAAGCAAAAGGAGCAGAAAGTCCAAAAGTCCAAAACTAAGACGAAGGAATGCAAGAAGGCGATAAGGACATATAGACGATCTGTCAAATGCTTAGTGGACAAGTCCTGCTGTGAGGAGAGAGGCGGGGGATTAGGGGACAAAGTAGCACAGGTGGTAAAGGCAGAGTTTATATCCCGTATCACTGATACACCTTTATCATCAATACTTTTCTCCCTTTTCATAAACATCTTTTCATATAATCAACATCCTCGTCCTAAAAAAACAAAACTGAAAATTACATTTTAAAAAAACTCAAACTGGATCCATGTGACATGAGGAGAGGTGCTGCAGTGAAGTAAGAGAAAGCATTTATGGCCTAATGGTTTGCATGGCAGGGTATAGTTTTAGGCCTATTAACACTCTACCATTACTACTATGAAAAACAACCTTTCCTTTATAGTCTGGGAATGCTCTCCAAGGCTAATTACTGAACTAATAAAAGCGCCTTTATTAATGGGAGCAAGAATTAAAGAATGTGTTGAGGTAGGTGTCTGTCACACAGCCAGTCAGTGTGTTAGTCACCACTTTCTGACAGAAACCACGGAGCCAAGTGGGGTTTTTTAGGACCGAGGCCAAGTCGAGATGCTGAGGACAGAGAGTTGAAAGCCCTGTTTGTTTATATGAAAGCGTAACCCAGCCGAGGAGTCATCTCTGCTGGCAATGAAAAGCAGAAAGAATCACCTAGCTTTTGATTTAGATGAAATGGACTTGTATAAATATTTAGTAAGTACTGGCAGGACTGTTTTTGACCCTGCTGTATAAAGCAGGCTTCTCATTCTGTGTCGTACGGAAAGGCATACATACTGTAGGTTGGTGTAATGTCTTGGCTTATTAACCATTTTATGGTGATGTATTTATAGACATTTGCTTCTTTTAGTAAAACGAAAAGAAAAACACTAAAAGATATTTCATTTATTTTCATGTGATTTATCTTTAAAATCAAAGAAATCCAAACATCTGAGCTAGCATTGTTTCTTTGTAAGTTCCTTTTTTTTAGCATTTCTTCATTTTGAATGTCACTTAAATGGCTCATTACTTAAAACTACTCATTACAAATTCAAAGCTCAGCTACTAATATGTATAATGTGTTACCACGTTTTGATTATTTCAATTAAAGATCAATATTTCTTCCCAGTTTTTCATTTGAAGGTTTCAAGGAATGCCTTTCCAAATGTCCAAGATACAGATTGATGATGGTGACAGAAAGTGAATGAGTAACGTGATGTAGAAGCCACACTGTCCATATCATTATATATGCTCACACTTATCTCAGACAACCTAAGCAGCTGAAGTGGTTTTACAGAAAGCGTCAAATCAATTTCAGCAGCAGTTTCCTTTTATCTACATCTAAGAATAACATTTATATAAAACACCCAGCTCGTGTTTCTGAAGAAACCATTAGCGGTGTAAAACCTCTCACCAACACATACTCAAACATCACACGCGTGTGCATGATGCACATTCACACTCACCACAGAGGCATTCAGTGGCTGCTTAAAGCTACTCGATGTCAGAAGCCGTACATGTTTGAACAGAGCGAGAGAAAGAGAAAGGCAGAGATACAGAAAGCTAGCAACAGGTAGAACAAGTGTGACACGGAAACATTAGACATGTTTCCATTTGTGTAAGAGTCATTTTTCCCTTTAATGTTCACAAAGAAGTCAGAAGGTTTTTTTTCTGTGCCATCAGAAGCCCTCTGATGATGAAGTCTCGTGAATCTGACATTCATCGTACCACATAAACACAGTTTATCCCAACTAAACCCCTTCAAAATCACCTGCCTCCAAAACTACAAAACAGAGAAATTGTTTCCAGTTTCAAAGCTAATCTTTACGTATTTAACATGTCACTGATCTAATCGAAACACCATCATCTCCTGAATCCTGTGCATTTAGCCATTACAGTCGCAATTCCATGTTGTTATCGTTTATGTCCAAGACTACTGAAGTGGTCAGAGATTATTCCTGCAGCTGGCACTGCTTACAGCTGATCTGACACTGGTCGCTTTTAGGACTCTTCAGCAGT